ACATTTCTGAAGGCATCTAGATTAATTACTGGAGAAGTAGAAGAGTTTTAAAGATGGGAAATATGAGTTTAAATGGAGAGGTTTGAAGGAAGATGTATAAAGGGAGTGTCTGTTTGGACCAGGATGGCACGCTCCTTTCAATACCAGCTCACCTCCAGTACACTTGGCGCGTCACGACTCGTTACCTTTGCCGGGATACCTCCGCTCAGGGACAGGATTCCATTTCTTTTTTTTTTTTTTTTTTAGATGGCCTCCCTTCTCCCCTTACAGCCATCCTCTCCACACCATTATTATGAAATATTTATTCTAGTGATTATCTAGTGTAGGTTTTTTTTTTTTTTTTTTAATAGGATAGAAAGAAAGAAAAAGACAAAGTAAGACACCAAAATATAAGAAATATATACAAAGAGAGTACACGGCAAAACACCCGGTCACTGTCTGTTCACCTGCAAAGAACATGACAAAACACAGCAACAAAATACATATGTATAAAGAACTTAAAATATTCATGGCTTTGCAGTAAGTTTCCATAAATATATATACCCATACCTACGCCTATATACATACATACATACACATGAATATACATTCACATATATATCTATATATCTATATATCTACATATAAAGCCTACATAAGCATCCCTGCTTCTATTTGTGTGTGGTTGTGAGCATGCATAAGTGTATAAGGCTTCTCTAATAGAACATTTATTAGTAACTGTGAAGCAGCAGAGACCCGATCCCCAAGACCAGAGGTAGACAAAAAAGGGGGGACCAGAGCCCAAGACCCCAGGAGGGACCCCGACCGCAGAGCCCCCAGAGCCACCCACACAGGACGAACCACTCACCCACCCCCCAGAACGGACCACAGGGGAGAACCGGAAGATCCCCACCAGCGACCACATACAGTGACCCCCCGGGGCCAACAGCGACAAACTCATAGGCCTCCGTCGGAACCCGCCACACCGATGTAGGTCAGGTCCGGGCACCGAGGCCCAGGCACCAAGGACTCACACCACCCAGGCCAAGGCCCGACAGGGCCAGAGGACCCGAGCCCCACCAGGCAGACACCAGGCCGAGCCGACACACGCCCAAGCGCCCAGCCCCCGATACCAAGGGCCCCAAGCGCGCCGGCAGGCAAGGGCACACCCCACCAGGGGGCCGCGCGATAGGGGCGCGATGCCAAGCACCCCCAGTTGTATCAAAGAGGGGGCAGTCCGAGTCTCGACCTAACAAATACCCATTCATACACAGACACAATCACACAATCCCAACCTCAGTCTCACATTCACTCACTCAAAGACATACAATAACGATACATTTCATTCTTATTCCCGATACGCACTCAATACCCCCCAGGTCCAAGACATGTAACCGCCCTCTACAGGGGGCAGCCCATGCCCAAACCCAGGAGGTAAACCCATTCATTCTCGAGCGGAGAAGAGCCAATACCCCAGACCTGGCCCAGGCCATGCCCCGCCGACAGGATACCCCCCCACCATGAAGAGGACACGCCACCAACCACCCCCACACACCACCAACAACCAAGCACGCGCCCCCAGCCGACCGCCCGCCAGGCCCCGGCAGCCACCCCGGCCAGCGGGCCAACCATGGCACCCAAGAGCCAAGCTCAGGGGGTCCAAACAACCCCAGGGAGAGCACAGCGCCAGCACCACCCACGGCAACCCCCTAGACCCTGAACCCCCACATAGTCCTGGTCAACACCCGACGGCCTTCCCTTCTCCCGGACCCCACCCCCAGAATGGCAGTCAGGGAACTAGGGGGGTAGGAAGAAAAAAGAAAAAAATAATAATAATAATAAGACCCCGACACATACATCCCCGCCCCTAGATATGCTGTTGATGTGTGTTGTTGTATAGTGCCATTAAAAAGGAAAGAAGAAGGAGCAAAGGATGGCACGCTCCTTTCAATACCAGCTCACCTCCGGTACACTTGGCGCGTCACGACTCGTTACCTTTGCCAGGATACCTCCGCTCAGGAACAGGATTCCATTTCAACGCGACCTTTCAGCGTCTCCAGTAAAGATGGCTGGTCACCGTCAGAAGTCGTGTCACTTATCCGTTCAACAAACAGGCTCAGCTCCCTTCGAAGTTGTAGGGCATTTATGCCCGGGTGGGCTCACAGCAAGCATCTGTGAGTCCTTTCAGAGTTTCCACTCAGAAGTGAAGACTCCATGAAGACTGAGTTCAACTCGACTGAGAACTGCAGAACTGCCACACTGACTCCAGAACTCAATAGTTCCAGGAAGTGTCGACTTTTAAAGAGTTAATTTCCGGTCACCTCAGGACTTCCTGATTGGTTGAAGCAACCAACAGGGGGTGGTTCTAGTGATGTCAGAGGGTCATTACAAGTCAAGAAAACAGCAGGAATGTTTTAGAAGCGTCCCGTACAGACAGAAGACATGTTATGTCGAAGTGGGAGGAAGAGAGGCCAGTAGCCTCTTGTTTACCGTCTGCTAGGTTTAAAAACACGACACTTCGTTCTAATAACTCCGCTTCTGACTTTCGACCGACATCACTACTTCTCATTTAGACAGAAGATCAAAAATGCATAATTACTTTGTAAAATAGACATTTAACTTGATTTCTAATTTAAATGAGGATTAAAAAATCATTAATACTGTTTCACAGTTGATTTAAAATGAGTGGTTCACTTCAACATTTAAAATGGTATGAACTAAACACACTTTTGATTATCAAGATATTGTAAAATAGTGATGATAATATAAAAGAAGAGTGTTCTTTCTATTGATTAGTTCAGGATACAATTAGAAAGTCTCTGGATGAGCTCATTTGTATTTCTGGATTCAAATCAATGAAATAACAGTTCCTGTCCCATGAAGGTCTTCAGAGGCAGGTTTTGGTCGGAGGCCGAGTCCAGTACACCAGGTTGGACCAGCGTCCTGTCCCTCCTGGGAAGCATGACCAGACGGTGACTTCGCTTTCCAATCGAGCTCACCAGTGTGTGTTCCAGGCAGCCGCAGCAAACAACAACGTGGCGCCGTTGGCGTACAGCGTTTTGAAGAGGCTGGAGACCGCAGATTTGCCTGAGGAGACGAAGAGCTCCCTTTGCAAGACGTCTCACGTCATCCTCAACATGTGCTCCTCTTATGCTGTCTGCCTGTCCCGAATCGCAGCGTGGATGACGATGATTCAGAGGTCCACCTGGCTCTGTCACTCCCCCTCCCTGCCGGAGAAATTGCACAAAGACCTGATGGAGGGCCCCATCATGATGGACGCGCTGTTCTGGAGCAATTTCAAGGCCATGCTGGAAAACTCGAAAAAGTTGGAGGAGGTGTCAGAGACTGTGCACCATCTCATCAAGCCGCACGCCTCATCCCGCCCCCCAGCCCGCTGGAAGGATCATCGTGGGCAGAGACAACAACGACGTTCCACGGCCGCAGCAGCGTCTTCCCGCTCTGCCGCCAGCCCCGCCCGTCAGAGACCAGCCCTCCTCCTCCTCCTCCATGCCACACGTTGATGCTGAAGCACAGGATGCTCTCCACTGCACACCTGTAGAAGGTGAGGACTGAGCTTCCAGACCAGCTCGTCTCAGCCGCGTGAGGAAGTAGAGTCTCTGATGAGCTTTCTTCATCAGGCTTCAGGTACAACTTACAATGCTGCATCTGCAGAAATCCTCGATGACTCTGCCATTGTGGGTTGCATCACCGGTGACCATGAAGCTGAACACAGAGGTGTGGTGGACATACTTAGTGGAGTGGTGTGGACAGTAGGGTTGAACAACTACATATTTTTTAAAGTCGACATGAACACGATGATAGTCGAGTCGACGTGTTAATGATGTCAAAGGAAGTCAAGACACAGGAATTATGATCTGTGCTGCAGGCAGTTTGTTAAAACTGATGAAATCATGGAAACAGAAACGTGACTGACGACCTTCAGTTCCACAAGATTTCTGTTCAACTTAAACTAGTAAATAAAAAAATCCATCGGTGCTGATACGATTAGACACCAAACAGAAAGACTGCAAAACCTTTATATTCAAACAAAAACATTTAATTTTTCCATTTCCAAACCACAGCAGAACTGTTTCGGACCGGACTTTGGCACAAAAGTTCTGATTCACAAACAAGTCCCTTCAAAATAAAAGCCTCTGGTTCAGGTTCTAAAAGCAGTGTCAAGTGAAACTAGAACAGACTGTTCGTTGTTTGACTCGGACTTTTAGTCTTTTACCGTTTGTAATCAGGTGAAACTGAAGAAGTTCACTTTAATCACATTTTACAGGATCTGAAACAAACTCTGTCACCGTCAAGACAAAAGTTCAGGTTCACTACAAACACCTAAACCTTACAGTCTTTAAACTGCAGCTCAGAGACACGAGACGTCCTCGAAACTCAGAGACACGAGACGTCCTCGAAACTCAAGAGACACGAGACGTCCTCGAAACTCAAGAGACACGAGACGTCCTCGAAACTCAGAGACACGAGACGTCCCGCAGCTCAGAGACACGAGACGTCCTCGAAACTCAGAGACACGAGACGTCCCGCAGCTCAGAGACACGAGACGCCCCGCAGCTCAGAGACACGAGACGTCCCGCAGCTCAGAGACACGAGA